ATAATGCATTAGACCAAAAAGTTATAAACAGCAAATTGGAAGTAATTGACTGACTTAATTGGGAACTGGAGGGTTCAAAATATCTATCTCTAGTATATGATGCACACCATCAAAAGAAACTCAAAAGCAGAAGAAATAAATTTTTATTCCACTCAAATATTTTAGAGTAAACGACTTAACCAAGGGCATAACCCTCATTTTACATTGATTTGTTTCACATTGGAAGGTTATCCTTAATTGCAAGTTTAGAGACCCGGCATTCTATTTTGAGGGTCTCGTCAATTTTGATATTAGGCAATCTATTTTAAATTTCACCAATTGGATGGATGCACCAGTTTAGAGACTCTGCATCTATCTTGGATTTTGCTGATTTGGGTGGGTTTGCTAGTTTAATTGGAACTAATTGACCGACTTAATTGGGAACTGGAGGGTTCAAAATATTTATCTCTAGCCTATGATGCGAAACATGTGTAGTACAAAAATTAAATATTTTAATTTTATAACTTCACCCTTTCGCCTCATTTAGTATGGAAGAATTGAGTGAAGTGAGAATGAAATTGAATTAATGTGGAAATGAGATGCTCATTTCCATTCTCATGTTTAGGTGCAATTTAAGGAATAAAATGAGAATGGACGTATTTGTAAATTATGTGGGAATTAATGAGAAGTGGGAATACACATTCCAACTTCAAAAAAGAGGTTTTGTTTGTTAGGAATGTTTGTTAGAGAAATGAGAAGTGCGAATTGACATTCCATTCTCACTCATTCCTACGTACCAAATGAGGCGTTTTGGTAAGGGTTTTTATTGTGATTTTGGACTCACTGCTTCATACAAACTCAAGAGTATATTGTAACTTACCCTCTTTTTTTTTTAAGAAGTACCTTCGATTAAGGAATATGCACACCATCAAAAGAAACTCAAAAGCAGAAGAAATAAATTGTTATCTCACTCAAATATTATAGAGTAAACAACTGAACCAAGGGCATACCCCTCATTTTACATTGATTTGCTTCACATTGGAAGGTTATCCTTAATTGCAAGTTTAGAGACTCGACATTCTATTTTGAGGGTCTCGTCAATATTGATATTAGGCAATCTATTTTATTCATCAATTGGATGGATTCACCAGTTTAGAGACTCCGCATCTATCTTGGATTTTGCTGATTTAGGCAGGTTTGCTAGTTTAGAGACTCGACAGTCTATCTTAGATTTTTGGATGGATTTTGATTTTGCTATTTTTAGTAATTTACCTTGATTTCACCAATTTTTGTCGTCATATCTTCATCTCTGCTAATTTTTGCAATTTCATTTTGAGTTTGCTAAATTTAGCAACTTATCTCAAGTTTTGCCAATTTTGGCTGTAGATTTGTTTATTTTAGCAATTTGTCAGCAATTTGTTCAAATTGTGTTTTTTTTCTAGTTTAACGACAAAGAGGTCACTCAGGTCAGCCACCAACACAATTGAGTTTTGAATGATATTTGTGCATATTTTTCTACACATAAATTCTTTATTAATGGAACATTTATTTTCTAGTTTAACGACTTAGTGGTCTGCACAATAATTTGTATTTTGTCTATCGACATTCCAATCATTAAGCGTGAGTTTAGTTTATTGACATTTCGGTAATTGAATTTGAATTTGAATTTAGTTAATCGACATTTCAATCATTGACTTGATTTTTTATCTTCGTGAAATGTCTTGTAATTTTCGCAGCTCTGTAATTTCTGCAACTCCTAAAGGTCTGCTTGCAATTTCTACACATTTTTAGGGACCTTTTCGCAAATTCTGTACAGTCCTGGCGTCTTTTGTAACAATGACTTTTTACAAATTTTGTACATTCCAGTGACTTTTATGCAAATTCTGCACAGTCTAGGGGACAGATCTGCAATTCTTAGATTCAGGGACTGCAATTTCGAGGCAGCCAAGGGCTGTTCTGCAATTTCGTGGGCACGTTCCTAAACAACTCAAGGGGTTGGTATCAAACTCTGGATCTATAGGGGGCTTGTAGCAATTTATGGACAACTTTTGCAAATCTAAAGTTTATAAGGGTTATTTTGTAATTTAAAGTTTTATAAGACTGTTGGACTTCTCCCTTTTTCATTTGTTTAATAATTTGGAACTTTTTTAGGGTCCATGGTGCAATTTTTCCTTTTTTCAATCAAATTTGTTTTGTCCCCTATCCTCATTGCTCTCAGCTTTGTGATTGCATTCTCCTTTGTAATTATTGTTGATTAATTAATCAAAGAAAATAGCAACAGAGTCTAGCCTGTCAAACGTGATGTTTCATGGTTGCTTGCCAATCACGAGGATTGTAGGATGAGGCGTTCTTTTTTCTGGCTGCCCGCCGGCCACGTGGATCATAAGACGGAGCCATTTTATTCAGGCTACATGCCGATCGTGAGGATTATAGGACTTTTTCATGGTTGTCACCGTAGGATGAAACCATTTTAATTTTTTGGCTACCTGCTAGCCGCAAGGATCATAGGATGGAGCCATTTTGTTAGGGTTGCTGCCAATCACGACTGTAGAACGGAGCCATTTTGTTATGACTGCTAGCTGGTTGCAAGGAACGTAGGACAGAGTAATTTTAATTAAGAAGTATAGAAAAATATATTCTTATTTGCTTGTTACTCCGAGTTGAAATGACGCTTGGTTGAGTTAGAGGCACAGGGGTTATTTAATGCAATTTTTATTGAGTATTCTAAGTCGCCATTGGTAGAGAAAGAAGCTTTTGAAAGGACGAGATCTTCTTTTATTAGACTCTATGGATGGGTTTATGCAAGGTCGGATCCAGAAACTTTGCTCACTAAGGGCAAGACTACAAATATAACTAGTATATGATATTTTTTATCTGAATATTAAATACATTAATACTAATAGGATTGCTTATTTTTAAAACATTGGGCGGCTAGGGGTCAATGTTGAAAATATTGTGGGGGACAAACGGATATACAGTCTTGTAGTAAATATATTTCTTAGAGGTCTGATGCAAGATAGATTGATATTAGAAACTCAATACATGCAGATGTATGCATGTAACCAAAGCATGATAGATTCAAATACTTTATCTGATGCGGATAATAATAGATAGGATTGTTAAAATTTTAAATTTTATGTGTTATAGTGTTTAGTTTGAATTAAGTTATAGGAATTTGATTTGAATTTCACCTCTTGGATATAGAGTTATTTTTTAGCTTGATTTATAATATGAATAGAAAAAGTAGAGATATGATTAATCTTTTATCTTAAAAAGGTTATTTCTTTTTTAAATTTTAGTACATATTTATCTTTTTATCTTATATCATTATTTTATTTTTTATTTATTAGTTTATTTTATTTCTCAATATCAATTTTAGCCATTCAAGTCTATGTTCAACTCTACCCAATTTAGCCATTCAAGTCTATGTTCAACTCTACCCAAGTCTATGTTCAACTCTACCATGTCTTGCACCAATTAATCCTATGGACAAAATCAAAAAGACCCAAACTTCCAAAGCAACAACAAAACACTCTAGACCCCCACGTAAATTGTGTCCATTGACTGTCACAAGAAGACAAAATCAAAACCAACTTAAATTTCTCAAAACACCAAAATAACTCCAAAAGGTGTGTTGTTCATCTTCATCTCTTATTTGTTTCTTTTTTCCAGTGAACCCAACAGACTTCCCATGGTTAAAAATTAAAATTAACAAATTTATATGGGGCTCTAAGCCTCTAAGTTCTCTTCCCTTTCAAGATCCAGTGGGGGCAATTAACCCCATTGACCCCACCGTGGATCCGCCTCTGGATTTATGGAAACCTTATTTGGGTTGATTTGTAAATGGTGTTCTTTAGCATAGATGGCAGGAAGCAATAGGTTTTCTCTCTCTTTGTTGCTTGCTTGGATGGTGGTGGAGGGGAGAACACAACTATTTTCTTTGTTGGCTCATCGTTTTTTATTATATATGTGTGTGTAGTCTTCTTTTTTCGTTGTATCATGTAGATTTCAATTGGCGGAATCAAAATGTGGTGTATAATTATAATAAAGAACTGTCACTTACACTTATGGAGTCTTGTATAGAATATCAAAATTGATCCAATTTCTACCTATTATTATGATATTACGATTCAATGAGGTACAAAAATAAATAAATAAATGGGTTCGATGACCCATCTTGTTTTTTCTTTTGAAACTTTTTGAAATCGGGCCAATTCTATTCCACTTAATCCCTTATTCATGGCCACATAAATTGTTGTTTTGGACGATGCATATGTAGAAAGCCTATTTATTTTTTTCTAGTATTGACTAGCCAATTTGATCTCCGGATCTATGCTTATTTTCAGCTCCCCGAAGCATTTCGTCACTTGCTACGCGCTTCCTCGTCTCTGGGTGCCTAGGTATCCACCGTAAGCCTTTCCTTGTCTTGAATTTTTAAAAATAGATAAAAATATAGCAGTTTATCAATTTTAAGGATTTAATCTTCTATCAATTAATGTTACATATATATTTTTGCTACTCCAACTTCTTAGTAAAATTATATGTAGTGACTTTGATTTGCATAGTGATGATAACTTTTAAGCTATCATATATTTTTCAAATTTTTATCCCTTAACTGCGTGTTTTTAATCAATTATTATTGTTTTTTTTACCAGCATCAACTTAGACTACTTTTAGATGCTAAAAGGGATAGTAAACCCTAAATTGAAAATATATATATATATATATATATATATATGAAAGAATACCAAGCAAGTATGCTTTTCTTTGCCAAGTTTTAAAATTTTAGCCCTCTTTTGTGGTTTTGAACTTCAAATGTGTAATTTGCAATTTTTAACACTTTAGGAGTGTTTTAAAAAAAATTATTTTAAGTTTTGTCGTTGTAACTTCTATGTTTCATGTGTTGGTGGTAATTTTTAAATGTCAGGATATTTCTTACAACTCTATAATTTTGAGTGTTTTTTACAATTATTAAAACTTTGTGTTATTTTTTGAACAGCGGTCTGCCAATAGTTTTCAGATTTGATGTGTACTGACTATAAATTTTAAAACCTTTTTGCGATTTTAACTTTTAAAGGATTTTTTGTAATTTTTATAACTCTGAGGTTAATTTAGGCAAATTTTATATTTTTAGGTGTCTGATGGTAATCCTTGAATTTACCTATATTGTTTACCAGTTTTAAATTTAGAATTTTATGGTGTTTTTTCGTAAAAAAAATTTAGGTGCATCATGGTAATCCCTTGTATTCATCTATGTTGTTTGCAAGTTTTAAAATTTTAGAATTTTAGGGTGCCTGTTTTTAATATGAATTGTTGAGGGTGTTTCTATAATTTGAGAGACATTGAATTTGAGGGTGTTAACTACAAATTATAATTTTTTTGCAAGCTGCTGTTAGTTGCTTAATTTCATGTCTGTTGTTTTAAGTTTTGAAACCTTAGGACGTTTTTTTATAATTTTGAACTTAGGGTATTTTGTGTAAGTTAAAACTTTTTAGACTTTGCAATACTTCATGTCCTATAGTATGTTAGCTACGTATGATTTCTTTACCCTATCAAACTAATACCGTAAAGTTGTTTTATATATTTCATATTTCATTAATATTATTTTTAAATTGTTGAGCTATAAACAGTTTACGTGGATTAAAATAGGATATAATTATAATTAAGATAGATTAAGATTTAAATAAAATATTAAAAATAGTAAAGGATAATATTGATCATGGAAATGGAGGACTTTAGCCCTGATGGAGTTGGGTTTACATAGAAAAGAGGATACAGAGGATATGTTGATTTGATAAGAGATTAGGTTGCATTTGTTGGATGATCAAACCTCATTGAGATCTCATCCTAAAACATCTAATCTAGTTTTCCCCCTCTTTATTCTTTTTAAACAGCCCAAGCTGCCCAACAATCTGCTTATTTCACTCATGCATGACGATGAGTTTAAAAATCAAACTTTTGCTTCATGATAAACTTCATGATAAGCCAAGCAACATTATTTTCTAACTAGATTCACTGATTCAGAGCCAGCCAAGGGGATCACATACATTTTTTCTACTGTTAGTCATTTGAACAATTTTGACATCATTTATTCCTCACCTCCTTTATTATAATCTTTGCAGTGTCAAAATTAGTTCAACACTCAGACCATGTCCCGAATTACGAGCACTACACATGATTTGGAAATTGCGTATTTCTCTTTGAGCTACAACTACTCTCTTGTTCATGCGAAAAATAACAGAACCTGTTCATGTAATGAACAGAAGGCCCTTTTCTATTGGCTGAAACAAAGAGGCTTTTGGGCAAGGCTAATGTTTAAATTCTGTCAAAAATCGAATGCTTATTAGGATTGTAAGATTGCCAACTCTAATACCATTGTAGAAATTGCAAAGAAAGTTAACCATCAAGGCCTAGGTCGCTTGATTTCTTTTTTCATTAGCCACAAACAATGTTTCTTTACATATTGCACAAGCTAGAATGTCGTATGAAAAAAATCCTGCACATTTACAACATATGCTTGGATAAAGTAGCAATGAGCCAGCTTATAGTGTAAGGAGTTTATAGCATATGGCGCTATTATGTATGCAAGACAAAATCTTTTTTTCCCCTTAACAAATACAATTAACCAATTAGGGGTAGTTACATAGTTTTCAAACACAACTAAGAATGAACAAACTACAAAGTATGGAGTTTATAGCATATGACGCTATTACTCTATCTATGCAAGACAAAATCTTTTTTCCCTTAACAAATACAATTAACCAATTAGGGGTAATTACAAAGTTTTCAAACACAACTAAGAATGAACAAAGTATGCATTTATATTGGGTTAGAAACCTAAATAGGCACACGTAAATCCTACAAAGTTATAACCAATTTGGGTTATGAAAAAAAAATCATTACTATCATTAACAATAATGACATGGAAAAATAGGAAAAAGATTAAAAATTAAAAATTAAATACAAAGCAAAGGGGAGAAGAGAAGAGACCATGATGGGCATAGACATAAGCAGTCCTCCAAGAATAGATGTGATCCCCAGGCTTCAAACTAGACCTCGCGATCCTATCATCACCATTAATTTCACGAACCAAATACACGTGAAAAATAAATAATCACCCAAATCAAAATTGGGATCGTATGATCGAAAACAAAATCAGAAAAAGGGAAAATAATTGTCAAATAACCTGTTAGAAAGGAGGCCCATCTCTCTCTCTCTCTCTCCCTCTCTCCAAACCCTGGATCTCGATCGTAAAACTATATAAAAGAGAAAAGGGGAAAAAGAAGAAAAGAGATAAAAAGAATCTGATGGTACCCTTTTTGGGTAGCTTTCGGTTTGATCCTCCTTTTCTTTAATTTCGTCCTCTTCTCTCTCTCTCTCTCCTTTGGGGTGCCGCTTATTTTGTACGCCGACGTATTCCCTTGCGAATACAAACAGCTCATAGCAATTGGATAATTGTTAAACTGAAATAATTTTTCGTTAGTGAGATATTTATGTGGGATAAATAGGAACAATTTTGTGCAGCGGGATATTTTGATGAAAAAATATGGGATAAATTTTAATAATTATGAAATATATATTTATGCATTTTGAAGATATAAATACTATTTATGTATTTTAAACTTACTATTATTGGTTGATAATTACTTACAAGAATGTTCTTTACTATTAATTAAATAATTTTTGGTTAGACTATAAGATATTAATAATTATTATTATAATGATAATCTAATGATGGTGATAACCATAATAAGAAAGAAGTAAAGAAACAAATAAATATAAAAAATAAAAATAACAAAAAAATACGAGTTCTAGTTTTTTACCACCTAGTTCCAAGCTAAAACTAAGAATAATTTGAAAGACTAGAACTCTCATTTTTGTATAGAAAAATAAAAAAAATAGGATAATTTTGTACCATTATCCCAATTCTAGTTTTGTTAGAGTTCTACTTGATTAACACTGTAAAATTTTGTTCTACTTTTAGTTCTATGTGACTAACATCTTAAAAATTTATCCCACAGATTATCTCAGTTCCAATTTTAAGTTCTAGTTGACTAACCCCACCTTAGGATATTTTAAGTGTGGTAAAATAGGATAAAGTGAGATAATGGGATAATTTGAGCCTTTGATTTGATAACGCATGTGGGATAATTGATGATGTGACACCTTATTAAAATATAATTTTATCTATTAATTACTTCTAAATTAACTTATCCAATGGGTTTATTATATTATTTAGTTATTATTATAATATAAATATTATTTTACTTTATATTAAAATATAATATATTATACTATACTTACAAATTACTATTATTAATTATTATATTATATTATATTAGCATGTTATACTCCAAAGAGTACAAGAGTATAAACTGTTCCTCAATACTCCAAAGAGTACAAGAGTATAAACTGTTCCTCAATACTCCAAAGAGTACAAGAGTATAAACTGTTCCTCAATACTCCAAAGAGTACAAGAGTATAAACTGTTCCTCAATACTCCAAAGAGTACAAGAGTATAAACTGTTCCTCAATACTCCAAAGAGTACAAGAGTATAAACTGTTCCTCAATACTCCAAAGAGTACAAGAGTATAAACTGTTCCTCAATACTCCAAAGAGTACAAGAGTATAAACTGTTCCTCAATACTCCAAAGAGTACAAGAGTATAAACTGTTCCTCAATACTCCAAAGAGTACAAGAGTATAAACTGTTCCTCAATACTCCAAAGAGTACAAGAGTATAAACTGTTCCTCAATACTCCAAAGAGTACAAGAGTATAAACTGTTCCTCAATACTCCAAAGAGTACAAGAGTATAAACTGTTCCTCAATACTCCAAAGAGTACAAGAGTATAAACTGTTCCTCAATACTCCAAAGAGTACAAGAGTATAAACTGTTCCTCAATACTCCAAAGAGTACAAGAGTATAAACTGTTCCTCAATACTCCAAAGAGTACAAGAGTATAAACTGTTCCTCAATACTCCAAAGAGTACAAGAGTATAAACTGTTCCTCAATACTCCAAAGAGTACAAGAGTATAAACTGTTCCTCAATACTCCAAAGAGTACAAGAGTATAAACTGTTCCTCAATACTCCAAAGAGTACAAGAGTATAAACTGTTCCTCAATACTCCAAAGAGTACAAGAGTATAAACTGTTCCTCAATACTCCAAAGAGTACAAGAGTATAAACTGTTCCTCAATACTCCAAAGAGTACAAGAGTATAAACTGTTCCTCAATACTCCAAAGAGTACAAGAGTATAAACTGTTCCTCAATACTCCAAAGAGTACAAGAGTATAAACTGTTCCTCAATACTCCAAAGAGTACAAGAGTATAAACTGTTCCTCAATACTCCAAAGAGTACAAGAGTATAAACTGTTCCTCAATACTCCAAAGAGTACAAGAGTATAAACTGTTCCTCAATACTCCAAAGAGTACAAGAGTATAAACTGTTCCTCAATACTCCAAAGAGTACAAGAGTATAAACTGTTCCTCAATACTCCAAAGAGTACAAGAGTATAAACTGTTCCTCAATACTCCAAAGAGTACAAGAGTATAAACTGTTCCTCAATACTCCAAAGAGTACAAGAGTATAAACTGTTCCTCAATACTCCAAAGAGTACAAGAGTATAAACTGTTCCTCAATACTCCAAAGAGTACAAGAGTATAAACTGTTCCTCAATACTCCAAAGAGTACAAGAGTATAAACTGTTCCTCAATACTCCAAAGAGTACAAGAGTATAAACTGTTCCTCAATACTCCAAAGAGTACAAGAGTATAAACTGTTCCTCAATACTCCAAAGAGTACAAGAGTATAAACTGTTCCTCAATACTCCAAAGAGTACAAGAGTATAAACTGTTCCTCAATACTCCAAAGAGTACAAGAGTATAAACTGTTCCTCAATACTCCAAAGAGTACAAGAGTATAAACTGTTCCTCAATACTCCAAAGAGTACAAGAGTATAAACTGTTCCTCAATACTCCAAAGAGTACAAGAGTATAAACTGTTCCTCAATACTCCAAAGAGTACAAGAGTATAAACTGTTCCTCAATACTCCAAAGAGTACAAGAGTATAAACTGTTCCTCAATACTCCAAAGAGTACAAGAGTATAAACTGTTCCTCAATACTCCAAAGAGTACAAGAGTATAAACTGTTCCTCAATACTCCAAAGAGTACAAGAGTATAAACTGTTCCTCAATACTCCAAAGAGTACAAGAGTATAAACTGTTCCTCAATACTCCAAAGAGTACAAGAGTATAAACTGTTCCTCAATACTCCAAAGAGTACAAGAGTATAAACTGTTCCTCAATACTCCAAAGAGTACAAGAGTATAAACTGTTCCTCAATACTCCAAAGAGTACAAGAGTATAAACTGTTCCTCAATACTCCAAAGAGTACAAGAGTATAAACTGTTCCTCAATACTCCAAAGAGTACAAGAGTATAAACTGTTCCTCAATACTCCAAAGAGTACAAGAGTATAAACTGTTCCTCAATACTCCAAAGAGTACAAGAGTATAAACTGTTCCTCAATACTCCAAAGAGTACAAGAGTATAAACTGTTCCTCAATACTCCAAAGAGTACAAGAGTATAAACTGTTCCTCAATACTCCAAAGAGTACAAGAGTATAAACTGTTCCTCAATACTCCAAAGAGTACAAGAGTATAAACTGTTCCTCAATACTCCAAAGAGTACAAGAGTATAAACTGTTCCTCAATACTCCAAAGAGTACAAGAGTATAAACTGTTCCTCAATACTCCAAAGAGTACAAGAGTATAAACTGTTCCTCAATACTCCAAAGAGTACAAGAGTATAAACTGTTCCTCAATACTCCAAAGAGTACAAGAGTATAAACTGTTCCTCAATACTCCAAAGAGTACAAGAGTATAAACTGTTCCTCAATACTCCAAAGAGTACAAGAGTATAAACTGTTCCTCAATACTCCAAAGAGTACAAGAGTATAAACTGTTCCTCAATACTCCAAAGAGTACAAGAGTATAAACTGTTCCTCAATACTCCAAAGAGTACAAGAGTATAAACTGTTCCTCAATACTCCAAAGAGTACAAGAGTATAAACTGTTCCTCAATACTCCAAAGAGTACAAGAGTATAAACTGTTCCTCAATACTCCAAAGAGTACAAGAGTATAAACTGTTCCTCAATACTCCAAAGAGTACAAGAGTATAAACTGTTCCTCAATACTCCAAAGAGTACAAGAGTATAAACTGTTCCTCAATACTCCAAAGAGTACAAGAGTATAAACTGTTCCTCAATACTCCAAAGAGTACAAGAGTATAAACTGTTCCTCAATACTCCAAAGAGTACAAGAGTATAAACTGTTCCTCAATACTCCAAAGAGTACAAGAGTATAAACTGTTCCTCAATACTCCAAAGAGTACAAGAGTATAAACTGTTCCTCAATACTCCAAAGAGTACAAGAGTATAAACTGTTCCTCAATACTCCAAAGAGTACAAGAGTATAAACTGTTCCTCAATACTCCAAAGAGTACAAGAGTATAAACTGTTCCTCAATACTCCAAAGAGTACAAGAGTATAAACTGTTCCTCAATACTCCAAAGAGTACAAGAGTATAAACTGTTCCTCAATACTCCAAAGAGTACAAGAGTATAAACTGTTCCTCAATACTCCAAAGAGTACAAGAGTATAAACTGTTCCTCAATACTCCAAAGAGTACAAGAGTATAAACTGTTCCTCAATACTCCAAAGAGTACAAGAGTATAAACTGTTCCTCAATACTCCAAAGAGTACAAGAGTATAAACTGTTCCTCAATACTCCAAAGAGTACAAGAGTATAAACTGTTCCTCAATACTCCAAAGAGTACAAGAGTATAAACTGTTCCTCAATACTCCAAAGAGTACAAGAGTATAAACTGTTCCTCAATACTCCAAAGAGTACAAGAGTATAAACTGTTCCTCAATACTCCAAAGAGTACAAGAGTATAAACTGTTCCTCAATACTCCAAAGAGTACAAGAGTATAAACTGTTCCTCAATACTCCAAAGAGTACAAGAGTATAAACTGTTCCTCAATACTCCAAAGAGTACAAGAGTATAAACTGTTCCTCAATACTCCAAAGAGTACAAGAGTATAAACTGTTCCTCAATACTCCAAAGAGTACAAGAGTATAAACTGTTCCTCAATACTCCAAAGAGTACAAGAGTATAAACTGTTCCTCAATACTCCAAAGAGTACAAGAGTATAAACTGTTCCTCAATACTCCAAAGAGTACAAGAGTATAAACTGTTCCTCAATACTCCAAAGAGTACAAGAGTATAAACTGTTCCTCAATACTCCAAAGAGTACAAGAGTATAAACTGTTCCTCAATACTCCAAAGAGTACAAGAGTATAAACTGTTCCTCAA